TCACCAATTACTGCTCACACACTGACTACTTACTACACACACATCTACTACACCACTCACGACAAGCAGGAGCGTTGGTGGCGGTGTGTTGTCGTAGGGGGCGCGGTTTTTCGTGAGGTGGGCTGTGTGCGGGTTTTCGGTTCCTTGTTGGTTCGGTTTTTTTCTTGTTGCGTTCTTTGTCGTTTTTTTGTGTCGTTTGAGTGCTGTGTTGGTGGAGTCTGGCGGTTTGTTTCGGTGCGCTTGTGGCGTCGTTTTTGCGGGGTGGTGTTGTGTCGTGTTCGTGTGGGGGGGGTTTTGTTTGGACTTTTGTGTTTTTGTTTGTTTTTTCTGTGGGGGGAGGGGCGGGGGGGGGGGGTGTTTCTTTTTTTGGCCGGGGGTGTTGTTCGGCGGCTGGTGTGTTACGTCGGGTGGTTTTTCTGTTTGGGCGCCGTTGCCGTTGTGCTGATGGTTTTTGTTGTGTTTTTGGGTTTTGTTTTTTCGCACCACACACACACACACTCACAACACACTCACACACACACACACACACGGTTTCTCTCTCCGCCCGCTGAGTGTAGTACAGGCACGCACCCAAAGGACACAATAAGTGCTTCCTTATTACTGGAGACACAAAACAACCTCTTCGGTGCAGACTGTCAGGTTATTGGCATTATTGATTAATGTCCCAATGTGTTCCTGAATAATTGTTTGTCTATAAAATACTGAAAGGAGCCAAGAGCCCAAAAAATGCGTCTTAAAACTGCCTTTTTTTTCAGTTTAGTGTAATGTAAGACGAGGAAAAGCAGGAAAAACTCACATTTAAGAAGCTTAAAAAACAAACTGAAGGATTTAAATGAGCTTAAATGAACTAATTTACTTATTTTCATGACCAATAATCTGCCAGTTACTTTTGTAATGAATCAATGAATCATTTAGTCCCTAAAATGTCTAAAAATAGTGAAGAATCTCCCAAAGATATTCAGTTTATTTTCAGATGTGGTGAATAAAAGAATCAAAGCTGAAACCTGCAAATGTTTTATGACTAAAACGATTAATTGATTATTAAAAAACAGTAACTTCTCTGTCCGATCAATGAATCAACTGATTGTTTCATCAGGTTGCAGTTGACTTGAACATTAACTGATTTATGTATAACTTTCCATATTTAAACAGACTAAATTACTAAATTTATTCTGTGAGAAGAAAAATAAAATGCAGAATGTTTTATTTGAGATGATTTAATTAAAGAATCAAACACCTTTTAAAGAGTGTGCAGCCTTCAGAGCTTCTTCTTCCGAATGAGACTGCATGTTTAACGTTTACTGCAGCTTTTAAATGAAATGCATTCACTCTAACATGTTTAAAGGATTCACCTGCAGCCTGTACACTGCAGGTGAATCACCCAGTACACACCTGCAGTTTACACCTGACTGCCACCACAAACACTCACCATCGGGGTTCTCTGTGGACTTCAGGTACAGCTCTTTATATTTCTCGAAGCTGGGGACGTGAGCCTCCTCCTTCAGGTCCTCAGACCCGAGGAAGACGTCTTCCTTCGGCACTTTGTCAGGAATCATCTCCGAACAACTGTTTTAAACTCTTTTCCCACCGACGCAGCAGCCGAGCAGACGTTGTGTGGCAGAGGTGCGCTCACAGATAATCGATAATCGATGCAGGACGAGCAGAAAGAGGCAGCACAGAGACCCTCCTCTCCCCTTCAGCTGCAGGAGCAATGAAGGCTACGTGCTAGCAGCAAAGTTCATTCAGACTTCCTTGTTGTTCCGGATGTTTTTTTGTTGCAGTTTTGTACAAAGAAATTAAAAAAATAAAAAATAAAAAACTTTACGTGCAAAATCCGCGTTTGGACCCAAACCGTGCAGCTGTAAAGAAACGTGGAGTCCGGACCGGTTTGTTCCTCGGTGCAGCTTGTAAACCGGATCCCGTTAAAAGTCCTGCACGGAGGAGCTAACAGGCTAAGCTAACATGCTAAGCTAACAGGCTAAGTCCAGTCGATGCCCTCGCGCGCCGAGACGAGGCCCTTCTGCTTTAACTCAACGGACTTTATGTGTTTTTATTTATCAGATTAAACTGTTTCCTTTCATGCTGCCCCGGAGGAAGAGGAGGAAGAAGAGGAAGAAGAGGAGGAAGAGGAGGACTGTTGTCTTCTTCTTTTGACAAGGAGAACGAGCGTGAACTCTGTTTGGCACCGACAGCCAATCACAGCGCTCGATGCCTTCACGTACGGGGAGAAAAAGCTCCGATTTCACACTACTCACTGTAGTAAATGGGACCCCGCGTTGCGTTCAAGTGCTGATGGTTGTACTAAACGTTAAACTATTTAATATACGGATATTTCACGTTTTAATTAAAACTGTACAATTTGACCCAAAAGGTTTGTGTAGAACAAGTCATTTATTATTATTTTAATATTTCCTGTATAAGACACTTGCTATTATCTGTTTGTATTATGTATTTGTTTTATAATTTTTAATAATCCTACAAACTTACTAGGCTTTTTTTTATTAATTTGTCCCCAACACTCGGCCTTTGTTCCATTAGACAATTTACTTTACTTTTATTTTTCTGCACATAAGTGAACCAAATGCTGAGATATAAGTCTACCTTGTATATGTTTAAAGTTTTCGAGCTCACTTTAAAATCAAGAAGGCTTTGTGAACCCCTATGAAGCTTTGATGACCTCTACAGGGGGTCGCAACTCTTCTAATGGCAGAAGTTGTTACATTTATATATATATTTATATTTATATATATATATAAGCCATTTTAAAAATAATTTCAGGCAGCATCATGCTTTTCAAATGAAATCTGAAATCTTCTTGCAGAACCAAAAGTTTGAATTTCTTGTAAACAATATGATACTGCTTGAAAAATAGTGTTGAACATGTGTAAATGTTATTCTCATAAAAAATACAGTTTACATGTATACAAACATGTACTACAAAATAAACACATAAAAGAGATATATAAAAGAAAGGAGGAATAATTTAAAAAAAGAATAAAAGAAAAGAAAAGACAAAAAGCAGGGGCAAACATGGGATCTATGGATAGGTCAAATTATAAAAAACT